TGGACCCCTGCTTGATAAGGGCCTTCTAGAGGATTGGTTTTCTGGGATTAATTTCACCATGTTCAGAGGGCTGAGAGTCCTCTGCAGCCATGATCCAAGAAGGACCAGCTACTACTTCCACTGACCAAAGAGCTTGGAGTCATCCACATGATGCTGGTTTTTCCAGTATGCAGAATGCAAGAGTTATGGGGTCAGGGAGGATTCCACCCAGATTTTAAAGGAAGACCTAGAAGATCAGGCAGAGAGCCCTGAAAATAACAGTATGTGAAGCTGTGGGAATAAACCCGAAGGTTCATGGAGAACCCAGGAAGTCAGAGATGCCAGGAATGTGGAAAGCCTGCCAAGGACAGCTGCAGGCCTCCTGGAATCAGCTCAAGAGAGGCCAGGCAGGCTGCAATCATCAAGGCCATAGGGTGGGGATGCCTGAACCCTTTGGAACTCATGTCTTACCACCCTTTTTCCATGGATGGAGGAAATACAGTTATAGAATTTAATGTATTCCCTGCTGGATTTTTGTTGTTTTTTGGTTTGACTATTTTCTATTCCTTATTCCTTTGTTTTGGAGTGGGAATGTTTACCCTATACTATTGTACCTTGGGATTACTTGACTTGTTTTTAATTTTTACAGATGTTCATAGCGAAGAGTTTGCCTTGAGTCTTAGAAGAGACTTGGACTTTTGAAAAATGCCGGAACTATCAAGACTTTGGGGAAGGAATTAGTGCACTTCTGGTATAGGATAGCTATATCTCGTTAGGCAGAATTTGGACTTGCTACTGTATTTAGGGCAATTAAGTGTGATTTCAGGAGATGCGTGTGGTTGTCAAATTGAAAATAGGCGGATTGTGACTGCTAATTGTGACAGGTCAACTCGATTGGTTTAAGAAATCCCTAGCAGATTAGGAGAGCACTCTTCTGCTTATGTCTGGGTGGGCCACACAGGTGTGATCTTGGGTGCTATATCTGGTCCCTCGTCTCTTCCTCTGTGGCACTGTTCCCCTGTCCTTCTCAACCCTCATGAACTCAGCATCTTTGCTCTGCCACGTTCTTCCACCATGATGTTTCTGCCTTGGAGCCGGCTGACCCTGGACCGAGTCCCCTCATGTGTCAAATTATACCTCTCCTTTAAGTTGTGGGTGTCAGGTTTTGTGCCCCCATGACAGGAAAGCTGAGTAATACACTCAGCACAACGACGTGTCCCTGCCATTGGAAGACTAAGTTCTAGAGTCACCTGGGGGTATTTGCGCATGGGATAAGGTTTTATAAATTGTTCCATTTGAAGCTTGGGAAGATTTTATTTGTGGCCTGGTTCTGCTTTCTTCTGTCACGTATTCATTTTGTATCATGCTGTGAGGCCTGTCTAGGAGAACTCATTTGCCGCCTGTTCAGGAATTTATGCGTATTTAGCCTCCCCACAACCAACAGACTTTTTTGGTGTTGGCGATGATGGGGTCTAACTCAGGGCCTTACGCATGCTAGGCAAGTCCCCCACCACGGAACCACACACCCGGCCTTTAAGAAAAAACAAAAACAAAAAAGACTGCAGAAATCTTGCCAACATCTGCCCTTCATGTGCTGTTGCCGACCACTCCCAGCCGGGACAGTGGAGACAAAGGGAGGGGTGACAGCCTGGGAAAGGAGCCCCTCCAAACCCTGCAGCCTGCACTGGCTGCCAAATGATCAGCTTGAGGCCTTGGTTTGGCTGGAGGAGGGTGATGTCTCTGGGGAGGTGAGAGAGAGTGAACGTGCACAAGCAGGTGTGGACCTGTGCTGTTCACCTTCACCCCTTCGAACTATGCTGGTGTGAAAGCCTCAGTTTCCAGTTTTGTTTTGCTTGTGGTACTGAGGATCGAACCCAGGGCCTTCTCACTGAGCTACATCCCAGCCCCTTTCTATATTTTATTTTGAGACAGGATCTCAACGAAGTTTCTAAGTTGTCCAGGCTGGGCTGGAACTTTTTGTCCTCCTTCCCTCAGCCTCCCAGAGTTCTGGGATTACAGGCGCGGTCACTGCTGCAGGCATTAGTTTCTCCTCTACACAGAAAGACAGTGAAGCAACTGAGCGGCGGTCTGGTGCAGTGTCCGCCCAGCAAACCCTGGTGTACCCCTCCTCTCAGCTCTCCGAAATCGGTGCTTCTGTGCGGCACAACATGGCCTCCCGCCTCAGAATCCAGCAGATCTCAGTCGAGGTGTGGTGCGGAGAGAGTCCTCTTCTGCCAACTCCCGCCTCTGGCGAGGCTCACCTGGCTAACTTCTGCTTGGGCAGGTGAGGCCGCAGCAGCAGAGTTAGTTATTTTTAGCATGCTGCAGAGGATGATGCGTGTGACTTTCAAGGCCACATATCTGGATCAGGGCTTATCAGTCATACGCACACAGACCTGGTGTGCAGGGAAGATGAAATTTCAACAGGATGACGCCAGGAACGGGCTTCATCCTGGGCCCGGCAGAGCACAGGCCTTCTGCAGTTTGCTTTAGCCAAACACGAAGGGTAAGGACTTGGCCTGTGGAGTTGATTCCCGACAGTGCCACCCTCTGTCAGCTCTGTAGCCCCTGCTTGGAGTGGTGGTGGGGGCGCTGCTCGTCTGCGAGGCCTCAGCAGGATCTCAGTAGTCGGGACAGGCGCCAGGCCCAGGCAGACTGGAGGTCCTCGGTGCCCTTCATGGCAGCCCGGCTGGCTGGAAACCAACCTCCACCTGTGCTGCCCCGGCCCATGTGTCCTTCCTGTCACCTCTGTGCAACTTCCTGTCCTTCCTCTACATCCCCAGCTTGGTCTTTTGTATTTTTCTATTTTTATCTTTTTGGTGCTAGGGGTGGAGCCCAGGGCCGCCTGCATGCTAAATAAGCAACTCTATTGCTGAACCTAGCCCTGCCCTACTGGGGCCTTTAAGAGGCCATTGGGGCCGGGCAAGGTGGCTCAGGCCTGTAATCCCAGCACTCGGGAAGCTGAGGCAGGAGTTTCGCTATGAGTTCAAGACCAGCTGGGCTACATAGTGAGTTCCAGGTCAGTCACAACTACATAGTCAGACCCTGTCTCAAACAAAACAAAACAAAACAAAAAGAGGCCATTGGGTCCTTAAGAGCAACTCACCCCCTTCTCCAGGGAGTCAGCTTTCTCTAGGGTGGGATGGGGCAGGATCCAGAGGCATGATTGGCTGGCTACCAAGAGTGAATTGTTATGAAGCCAGCCCGGCATCCTCTTTGACCCTTCCCTGTTCCCTGCACACCGCTCCTTTTCCATAGCTGTGCTCCTGCCCTTTCACCACGTGGCCCTCACAGAGGCCTAGCAGAACTGGTGTCACATTCTTGGACTTCCACAATGGTGATCCTAACAAACCACTTTTCCTTTTTTATTTTTTTGGTTTTTTGAGACAGGGTCTCACTATGTACTGAGACTGACCTGGCATTCACTGTGTAGCCCAGGCTGGTCTCAATTCACAGCGATCCATCCTCCTGCCTCAGCCTCCCGAGTGCTGGGATTACAGGCATGCGCCACCACACCCGGCCATAAACCTCTTTTCTTTATGAATCACCCAATCTCAGGCGTTCTGTTATAGCAACAGAAGATGGACTAAGGCATCCCTTTATCCTCAATACTCTTAGATCCTGCTGAATTTCTCCAGGTTTTCGCAAACCTCTTCCTGACACCCTCTGGCAGTATCGGACACCCTGTGTATCCTGCCTTATCACCTCCGTCACCCCTATTAACACATCATCAGCCTCCTAAACTGCACCCAGGCCCATCTTGCTTCTGTGTGTAGCTCCAGGACATTGTACAGTATATGGCAGCTGACAAATAAATTATATAAACTTGCCAATTTTGAGACATTTTTCCTTCCTCTTGGCCCCCACAAGACGTTTTATGATTTTGCATTAATTTTTCTCAAATGAAAATGAATCACATTGCTTTTGTTTCAGGAATTTCACATCCACCCACTGAAGCCATCAGAGATCTGGGGAATCCAGAAGATAAGAATGAGGGCCAGGGATTTAGCTCAGTGGTTCCACCACCTGCCTTGCAAGTGCAGGGACCAAGGACCCGAGTTCTATCCTGGTACCAAAACAAAAACAGAAGATAAAAATGAGCTTCCCTGCCCGTCATCCTTGGGTGAGAAGAGGCTTGTCTTAGAGTTCTGCTGTTAGCTGGGCTGGGGAGACCAAACAACGGGATGAGTGTAGAAACTGCTGGGCTTGTCTGCCTGCGAGGGAAGGCTGCAGGGGCGGGGCCATCCACAGAAGAAATGGCTTCTCTCCCCACACCCCTCTTGGGAGTTGAACCCTAACCCTACCCACTGAGCTCCATCCCCACCCTGCTTTTATTTTTTATTTTGAGGATCTCACTAAGCTGCTCAATTGCCTAGGTTAGGCTTGAACTGAGATCCTCTTGCCCCACCCCCTAAAGTGCTGGGACTCCAGGCACGTGTCATCCTGGCCAGCTCTTTTTTCTTTGGCATCTCGACCACGAGGTGAGCTGCTTTTCTCTTCCCTGTGATCCCTCCATGATGAGCTGCCTCATCACAGGCCCAAAGGCCTCGGGCCAATTGACCATGGGCTGAAACCTCTAAAACTGTGAGCCAAAAACAACCCTTCCATCTTTACAAATTGACTGTCTCGGTTGTTTTGTTATAGTAACAGAAGACTGGTATTATGGCTTATGTCTAGACGTCTCCCCCACAAACCCTCATGCAGTCCTAGGTGGGGCTTTTTTCAGAGGTGGCTGGATCTAGAGTGTGTGATGCTGGGATTGATGCGAGGCTCCAGGGCATTAAGATTAAGGGTGTGAGTGCTACCCACCCTAAGTAGCCTGGATGAGGGACAGAAAGATGCTATTAAGGCCCTTGTTGCTTTTGCTGCCTTGTGTGTGCCTTGAACTATTTCACCTCTGCCACTCCGCCTTGGAGCCAGCCCATTACGGACAGAAACCTCTACAAAGAGTGAGCTAAATAAACCTTTCCCCCTTTCACTTTGAGTATCTGGTATTTTATCTCAGGTACCAGAGAAAGGCAGTTAACCTAGCCGCTTACACAGTTTCCAGTGCCTCCGAGGGGCCGGGACTCATGGAGGTCGGAGTTTCAAAGATGTTCCGTGGAAGCTGCTGGAGACACAATAACCATTTTGAGGAGGAGGTGAGGAGGAGAACGAGCCCTAACCTCGTCTCTGAAGGCCCTCCTTGTTCTAAACTCGGAGCCTGATTTTGCAGAGCCTGGAATCTCCCAGGGCACCAGGAGGTTGAGACCCTTCCTGAAGTCCTATCCCTGACTTTTGCATCGGCAAAATGAGCTACCAGGGGCTCTGAGAACATGTTCCTTCCGAGGTGGAAATTACACGCTTGTAGCAGCCAAAACAGCTATTTGCAGTAATAACTATCCTAGTGCAGGTTGGAGGAGCCTAGTAAATGTTGCCCTTGTTCGAAATCCTCCCCTGCTCCCCACTCTGCGTCCTCCCCAGTGCCGAGCAGGTTAGGAGAGCAGTGACTATTTTCTGTTTGTTTATGTTTCAGAGCCAAGCTGTCTGGAACCACTGTCTGCAAGGGCTTCTCTCCCATCCCAGCAAGGGTACCCCGCAATCAGAGCACCTCTGGCCGTGGGCTGCCCGGATAAACACTGAGGGAGGCGGAGTGGTCATTAGCTGAGGGCAGAGACTCTAGCGGTCCCCACGCAGCCCGAAGTGAGTGCAGCTCTTGCCCTCGATCTCCTGGGAACTCTGTGATGTGAGGGGGAAGAGGTCAGGGCTCAGCCAGGTCACGGTGCACAGCGGGAGTCAGCCCACACCTGGCCCCCGAACCCAGGTGCCCTTCTGCACTCTCCGGGATAGAGGTGGGGCATCTGGCTGAGTGGCCCTTGGGATTCCTGTCCAGGGCTATTCCCACAGCTGGGAGCTCGGGAGTGAGCAGGGTATGTCAGGGTGACTCTCCCTCCCCTGCTGAGGGTTTGTTTGGCCCCTTGCATTCTCCTGAGATCTCTCTATGCTGACTGTGGTTCTGAGGTTTAAAGATCTGTATTTCAGCAGGGTATGGTGGTGCACACCTATAATCCCAGCTACTTGGGAGGCCGAGGCAGGAAGATTACTGGCCTGGGTAATTTAGTAAGACTCTGACTCAAAATAAAAAAGGAAAAAGGCTGAGGATGTGGCTCAGTGGTAGAACGGCTGCCTCGTGTGAGCGAGGCCCCGGGTTCCCAGTAACCCCTGTAAGAGTCCGTCATACAGCAAGGCCCAGGAACTCCATCCCCCACGTGACCTCTGCTGTGCTTGGCAGGTTATTTATTTGAGGGCTCTCCAGGTGTGAGGCTGGCGACGTGAGGTTTCACTTCTGCTTGGGCTCCCCAGCCTAAGCCTTCCCACCAGCTCCCCACCCTCTTCCTCAGAGGGCAGCTGGAGAGCCCAGGCCACGCTGGAAGTCCGAGCGCCGTCTTCCTCTTTCCTCACGCCCGCCCGCTTCGTGGGTTCCTGGCCTCGTGCCACGTCTCAGTCTTTCTCCACGCCTGCTCTGCTCCGGGCCCGGCCTTCACCCCACCGCATCTCACCCGCCCCGCTGTCCCCCGCTGTGGCTGAGGGAACAGTGCAGATCCGCGGGGCCCCTGTTGCCCACACCGAGGCTCCCTAGCTGGTCTCCACAGTGACTGCCCGAGACCTTGGCAGCCCCGTCATCCGCGCATCATCTCTCCTTTGTTTCCGGTTTCAGTACATAATGCTCACATTTCTCGCGGGAGCTGCTCCATGTACGTAACACCTCTTAATTCTTTTTCTTCCCTTTCCTCCCTCCTCTTCCCTGCCTTCGTTTCTTAGTCCCCTTCTCACTTACTAAAGACCTCGCTCCCTATTTCGTGTTATCTATGTCTATATTTTGGGTTTCTCATAAGAAAACCTGCAGCTGTGTGTCTGATTTATTTCCCCTCCCATGAAGTGCGCCCATTTTCCTACGAAGGACTCAATTTCCCTTTCTCTATGGCAGCGTGGTACTCCATTGCATATAAATGCCACATTTTCTTTAGCTGTTCATTTACTGATGGGCACATGGGCTGCTTCCAAGGTTTAGCTACTGGCCCCATCCAGTGCTTTGAGGACCTGTGCCCTGGCCAGGCAGACCCCTGACGCTCACGAGCCTTTGCTTGTGTGGTCTCCTTCTTTCCCCCTCTTGCTGGTGCTTGTCACTGTCCCTGCGTAGCAGCCCACACGTACTCTTCCTCCCCGAGGCACCTGCTCCTTGGGCCCCTGCCTCTGCAGCCAGAGAATCCAGGGAGTCGCACAGTTGCAGCATATTCAAGCCCCACGCGACTCTGGGGGGCCCGTGTTTCTTCCGACAGGGGAGCTTCTTGAGGATGGAGCTGGGTCTCCCTCTTTGCATCCTTGGTCCCCGCACAGTCACTGGACCAAGCAGCCCTTGTCTTCGCTGCCTGAACTCGCCCCAATATTCCCACCCGTGTCCCCTATTTTTGCCGACTGGAGACTCATTTCGGACCCACTTGGCTTGTACAAAACCCGTAGAGAGAAAAAGTCTGGCTTGGGTCCCTCCCAGTGGAATAGTTCCATTCTGAGGGGAGAACTGTTGTTTCCTCTCTCCTTGGGGCCCCTCTTGGGGTCTCCTAATTCCCTCATTCCCAAGGACTCTCAAGTTCTTTCTCTCCCTATCAGAGTACCATCCCAGAATAAGTACATTCTCTCTGAAACACAGGTCCCCAAGCTTATTTACATTTGAAGAGAAAAAAACGCAAAGCAATGAATTTCTACCTGGAATTAATTACTTAATTTGAAGGAATTAGTTTTAGGACATGGGGAGAGAAGCCGGAGGCAGATCTGAGGGCGAGACAGCCTTCTCTCAAGACTTTCTCCAAAGACTGCAAACACTTTTCTTTTGCAGAGCTGGAAGAGGGCGGGATTTACTGATCTGCAGGCAGAAAGAAGAGTAAAGAGAAGAGAGATTTTTTCAAGCCTGCTTTCTCTTTTGGCTCACCCACACCGGGCAGGTGTGTCCTGGGGCTTGCAGAAGGCAGAGTGAGGACCAGAAGGTTGTCCACGGAGAACACTGGGAAGATGGAATCAAGGCACGGGGATGAGAGGTACTGATCAGGTCTCTGCTCACCAGGTCAGAGGCAGAGCACAAGACAGTTGTCACCAGGAGCAGAGTGAGGAGAAGAGGACCCATGGTGAGTGAGCTGTGTGGGACCCGGCCACTCGGGGCAGCCTTTTGGGTGGGCTGTGACTGGGGAAACAGTGTCCAGCAGTGGAGCCAGAACACATCTGTTTCTCCCCATCTCTGGCTGAGATGTGACCCATGACCCCCAGAGTTTGTGATTCCTGGGACACGGAGGCCATCAGCAGTGGCTGGCTTCATCCTCACAGTGGGCTGAGTACTTCCCGTGATGTCAGCCACTGTGTAATTTCTGGGGGGCTGAGCTCCCTTATCCTTGGTGCAGAAGTGAAATAAAATAGGGTCCACTCTGAGAGCCCCAGCCAGTGCCCAGTGGACCTTGGGCCAGGCCTTCCGGGGGCTTCCTCCTGTCACGTGGCCCGTCCTCTGGAAGTGCGAGGAACCACTGGGCCGGCGCTGGCTGCTCACAGAGGAACTTTCACACCTACTTGATACCTACTCTCACCTTGGACTATGAACTCCCAGTTTCCTCCCCTGCGTTCGGGTGCAGGAGGCACCCAGCTTCCAGAGGCTCCACAGAGACCCTGCACTTTCCTTACCCCACACATTCTCTCTCTTGCACATTATGTCGCCCTCAACTCCGTGTTCAGATTTCATCCCTGTCTCAATCCTGTCTCTTGTGAGGACACAATTTCCCTGCCATCCCCACCAGGGCCAGGAGGCAGGGGCTCTGTCTGAAGGGAGGGCAGTTGACAGAAAGGGGGCGGAGAGGTCACGAAGACCAAATGCAGCTACTTCCCAGTCAAGGTCTAGCTGCAGTTTTCCTCAGACACCACCTGGAAATTCTAGGCCAATACAAGATTTCTGGACTAATCACAAATGTGAGGGGGTATTTTTTGAAATTATAGGTTGAATGCTGAAATATAATATTTTTTAGGGTATTTGAATGGTTTGCTGGGGCAGCAATTTTTTTTGTGGTGCTAGAGATTGAACTCAGTGCTTCATACTAACCTACAACTCTTTATCTGTCTCTGTCTCTCTATCATCTATCTTCTATTTATTTTCAGACACAGTCTTCGTAAATCACTGAGTTGAGCTCAAACTTGTGTTCTTCCTGCCTCAGCTCCCCACAGTGCTGGAATTACAGGTGTGCACCACCATGTCTGGCTGGGCAACATGACATTTTATTCCTTTTTTTTTTTTGAGACAGGGTCTCACTATGTAGTTGAGACTGACCTGGAACTCACTGTGTAGCCCAGGCTGGTCTCGAACTCACAGCGATCCTCCTGCCTCAGCCTCCCGAGTGCTGGGATGATAGGCGTGTGCCACCACGCCCGGCCCAGCATGACATTTTAAATGAACACTGTTCCAGAACATCCAGACTGCTTGGTGGCCATCACTGTGGTAGTGATGGTAGGTTCCACTGGTGGTGGCCACCTGCCAATCTCTGCCTAGTCCCTTATCCCATGCATACGGGGGATGCAGTGAACATGCCCACCCAAGGGTTCATTCCTGTCCGGTCTGATTCTTTTCTCGGCACAGGTTTTGGCTCAATTCTAAGGGGAACCATTGTTGCCCAGGCATTCAGGAGCTGAGAATCTCTATGTTTCTCTGCTCTCCTCGTCTTGAAGTATTATCTGTGACCACTGATCCCTGCTGTGAGTCCTCTAGGTGATCCAAAGCTCCCTGGAGTTCGGAAGTTTCTCTGGTTTATATGATCAGGAAAGCCAGAGTTCAGATGACCAAGGTAAAGTCAGCTGGAGGAGGATAAGATGGGATCTGAGCCAAAGGAAAGAAGGGAAGTTCTGGGAAATTGCTCTGAATGGTGGCTATTTTCAGCCCGGCTTTATCTTCTGCAGGTGCAGTTTGTGAGTGGGCTGGGCCATCTTAAAGGGCCAGAAGCCAAGCGGACAGGTAGAGAAGTGTTTGCAGATGTTTTTGTAGGTCATTCTGACCCCTTGGCAAAGGCAACTTGTGGTTTGTCACCTCTTCTGCTGTCCAAAGGAAAGGCCAGAGAGCTGGCCTGGCTTGGATGTGAATTAGGGAACCAGAATCTCCATTTGGATGAGTCCAGTCCTCTCACCCACTGCAGCCATGAGCTCTGCAGAATTCCCCACTGGGGCAGGACACCCCCCCCCCCAACATGGCATCCTTGGGATGGCCCAAAGCACCTGTCACCTTGCACACAGAGTGTTCATGCCAATTAATTGAAGCAGTGCTTTATATTGAAGAGACACATGATTTTATTGACTCACTCCTCTCCAGTTCTAACGCCAACACAGCACTGGTCGGTTCCCTCTTCCATTTGAAGATGCCCACTCTGCCTCCCGTGATCAGTTTCCTCCCCCAGGAAAATGTACCCTTATGTTCTTTCAAAGTTCCCAGCATGCCCTGGTTTTCAGAGATGCAGAAGCTGCAAGCAAAATGTCTATGGAGCAGAGATATGAAAAAAGGACCCAGGAAACCAGACTGTGCATCAAAGTAGGGGACCAAGTTGGTGTAGAGGAGAGAATAACCGAAGCTAGAGCTACACAGAAAGCTGATGAGACAGAAGTAATTTAGGATCGAAGCCCACAGAGGGAGGGCCCACTGGGGAGCTAGAGGACTTGTGTAGGAGTTGAGCAGGACTAATCAGGGCCAAGCTAAAATTATGGTCACTAAAACCCCCAGGTCCTGGGTCTATGAATTGCTGCCAAGTCAGAACATAACAATCTTGTGCTTCACAATTGGTATTTTGGATCTAACTTCGGGGCTTTGCCTAATCCTGATTAAATTTAATCTTGTTTATTCTAATCAGTAGAAACCATCTGAACCTTGTTTCTGGAATGTGCACTTCGTCTCTCTCAACTTTGTGTCATGCATCCAGGTTACAACCTCACTTTGATCTCCATGTCTAAATCACTGACAGAAACGTTGAGCAGCAGCTCATTAGAGGCTCCTTTCAGGATGAGGCCCGTACCAGTATCGGCTGTCAAGCAGCTGTCCACTTGTGCGTTAGCTCCTGGGGTACACACTGCTCAGAACAATGGGATTCCGTTCCGGTGATGCTGGGAAGAAGGCTGTTAGAAATGTCTCTAGGAGCCCCTCTGTGTCCACAGGCCTTTGGCAGGAAATTATATTAGTCAGCTTTCTGTCACTACAGCTAAATGCCTGAGGTCACTAACATAAAAAGAGAAGGTTTGTTTGGGCTCACAGTTTTGGAGGTTTCAGCTCAAAAGCAATTGACCCCATAACTTTCAGCCCATGGTAAGGAATATCATGGTGGGATGTGTAAAATATGTAAAACCACTCACCTCTTCAGCCAAGAAACAGAAGGGGATCAGAAAGGGTCAGGGTTCCACACCCCTAATAATCTAAAGGCCTCCCACTAGGTCCCACCTTCTAGAGGGTTTACCACCTCCCAATAGCACCGCTCTGGGGCTTGAACCTTTATTCCATGGATCTTTGGGGGGCTATATACAAACCATAGTAGGAAACTTCCTACTTAAGGCAGCATTAGGTGCATTTTATTCTATGAGAACATCTCCTTTTCCAGTTGCATCTGATTGGACTTCCCATGGCCTAGGAGAGTCTTAGAAAGCCCTGCCTAGACAGGGCAAGCAGGTCCACTCCAGTGAAAAATGGACAGGCCAGGTATTTAGCAGGAAGGAGCTGAGGGTGATATGTTGCCCAGAGAGGCAATAAAGTTATTAGCACAGGGTCAAACCAGGAGGAAGCAACATCTACGAGGAGGTCCAGACTTTAATTTGTCAATACAGTGAATCAGTATAATTTGGGATCTCTTCTTCAAAATACCTAGAAATTCTGGATATAATAAATGACCTTTTGAACATGTAACTGAACAAGATGCAAAACAGGGAAGAAATCTTCAGGGCCCAAACGGAAGGAAGCTGAAAACCTCACTGGTAGATATGCAATCCAAGGCCAAGGCAGCCCAATGGCAGGATGGGTTCTTATCAGCCTGGGAGCAGCCACAGGTAAGGTCTGAGCCTCAGGGAGACACAGCCATAAGCCTGCTTCTTACAGGAGGTTGGACCTGAAGCTCCTGCTTAAAGCTTGGATTGTTTCTGGGCTACATGTTCAGTAAAGCAACGGGGTAAAATGTATCCACCCACTAGCTGAAGGAGCTAACAAGGACATTCGTCTGCCTTGACTTGGGTCTAAATGGGAAAACGTACTTCTTGGAATCTGTAGTCACAGTCTGTACCTTGGCTGAAGTTGGTTCTAATTTATACCACCCCGGTGGCCCAGGAATCCTCAAGTTAAGACATTAATGTCCACGTGGGCCAAGACTGAAGGTACGGGCAGCCCGCGGAGACGGGCAGAAGCCAGCACCGCAACAACACTCCCTGATCCTGCTTTGCAGGCGTCTCACAGATGGAGCAGGAGCGTGGGCTCAGAACTCTAAAGTCCACTGTGAGTGTGTGTCACAGGACGTGACTAAGAACTTCAGAAACGGGACTGTTAGTGAGGAATTCTTAAGAATGTATGCTCAAGGGCCGGGGATGGAGCTCAGCGGCGCGGCACCCGCCTGGTAAGTGCGAGGCCCTAGGTTCGACTCCCAGTACCAAAAAGGAAAAGGGGGAGGGAAACAACAGAGCCCCTTACAAAAGGATATATGCTCAAAATTAGCATTAAAAATGCAAGAAAAGAAAAATACTGTAAAAGTAATAGGCATATAAATGGAAAATATTTAAAAATGTATGAAAGAGCACATCTGTATAGAACAGAAGATAATACATAAACTGAAGCTACAGCTGAAGGAATTGTCCAGAATTCACTGCAAAGGTTTAAAGAGATAAAAAAGAATATTAAAAAGATGTTACGAGACGTGGAAGATAGATTTAAAAGATTTAATGTGGACCTAACATACGTCTGTGACAGACATGGAAGTGGACTAACTTCCTCGCTGTCTTCTAGAAAGGACTCCATACCCAGATGTGAGGGTGCCTTGCAGTTCCTGGCTTCATGATGGTTCGACTTGGGTTCCCAGCCAGGTGGAGCCCTCTTCTTTTAGCAGCTGAGGGTTTGGACATGTCCGCTGGGTGTGTGATTCAAAAGCTTCCCAGACGAGTGGCACAGAAGCTGTGGGACCTGCATTTCAGTCAGCCCCGGTTTCCCTTTTCCTTTTCACAGCCACACTCCCCCAAAGTCTCTTACACACATAATTCCATCCGGTTTCTGGTTCCTGCAGCACCGAGACTTGTGACACATGCTAAAAATGCACAGGGAGAAAGAAAGAAAGGGAGAGGGAGAGAGAGAGAGAGAGAGAGAGAGAGAGAGAGGGAGGGAGGGAGAGAGAGGGAGAGAGGGAGAGCTTGAAGCTTGTCATGGGGCTTCTTTCTCACTAGGATTTCCCACCTATGAGTGGTGCGCATCCCTTCTGCTCATGAGCCTTTAACTAGAAGAGAGTGGAAAACATTTTCTGCCATGTGTCCAGGAAGGAGAGGAAAGCAAGATATTGGTGAGCACCCAGACGATCTAAGAGAACACAAACACTCGTTCTGAACTGAATTATAAGTGAGATAATGTCGTGAAGCACAGGTATATAGGGCTCATGAAATATAATCTACTCTTAGTCAACATTAAGAATATTAGTGAGCTACAGTGTACAGTATAAGAATTATCCAGAAGACAGGGTTTATTTTTCTTTGTTCCCTTTGTTTCTATGTATCTCTCTTTTTCAACTCATATCAAGCCTTCTCATCTCACATTGATGCCTCTTAACATTTAGTCATTCCAATGAAATTAATGAGAGAACTACATTGCTGCAAAGCTAAGAAGCAAATTAAAAATGGGTTGAGTAAAACTGAATTAAACCTAGACAGGGGTTT